TTCCTTCCTTCCTTCCTTCCTTCCCTCTCTCCCTCCTCCTCCTCCTTTTTGTTTAATCTTCCTCCCTCCCTCCCTTGGAAGAGGGGAAGGGAGGATCAAGCTAAAAAGTCATTTCCACGTTCACCTCCCTGAGTGGAAATCCCAAGGAACCCAGTGGGGAATCCTTTTCGGTCGACAGAGGTTCCCGCCTGAAGAGAGGCCGCTGGTGCGTTCCTACTCGCGGTTTCCACCCTTTCCAAAAAAGCAACGGAGGGACCATTAAGGAAGGGACGGAGGCTGCTCAGGAAGGAAGGGAGCTCCTATTAATCGCCCAAGAGGGGAGGGGGCGGCGTTTCAAGGATCCCCTCGAACGCATCTAAGGAGGAAAACATAAAAGTTTCGGATTGGCAAAAGACGTTGTAAAGGGGAAGAACTAGTACGATATTGAATTTTGGTGTGGGGTGGGGTGGGGTGGGGGCCAAAGTGATGGGCGATATCAGTGAGACGCAAGCCTTTTGAGGGCTAGAACCTTGATCAGGAAAGTATTGCTGCCGGGAGAGGCTGCGCTCCAGAAACCTTCGCTTCCCGGCGCGCGCCTGCGCTGGGAAGTCTTGGCTGGCGCCAAATATGCGCGCCTCCAAAAGGCTCACCTGAACGCCCACTTACTTGGGAATCAGCCCTCTGGCCCCAGAGAGGGCTACATTCGGAGCAGAGGGATCGCCGCCGCCAGCTGACTAAACCTCTCTCTAGTGAACAGAAAGAAATTCCCCATCTCGGGATTTCTAAGGGGCGACTTCTGCCTTTGTGGGTGGGAAATGAGGATGGGCGAATCCAGGTTTCCTCACTCCGGCCCGTTTTTGAAAAGGGACCTGCATTTCTTTTCAAAGGAACGAATGAAGGTCTACTTCCCCCCTCCCCCAGTGAAAATAAACTTGAAACCCCTGGAGAGGTTGCGATCCCACGCACACCTACCTGGAGGTAAGGCCCAGTGATCACTGTGGGGTTTCTTTTGATGTCCCTACAAATAGATATGAGCTCACAGATATGTGTTTATATTTGCGGCTTTTTGCTGGTTTGTGACATTTATGCTCGTTTTGGCCCTGTGTATGTGAGAGAAAGAGAGAGAGACAGGGCGCGTGTGCACGCGCGTGTGTCAGCATATAGAGCTCTGGGAAGTTTGACGTGGGAATAGAGAAAACGGAAGTTATTCGCCTAATTCAGGGCGCACTTGTTGATGACAAAGCGCTCGCCAAACTCTACCTCCACCTTAAAAGTTTTACCACAATTTAACCCCCCCCCCC